TCAAATCGTTTGGAAATCGGTTACAGCCCTCCAACACCTTCTTTCAAGAATCAGTTGCACATTCAAATTTTTCTATCCCAGAATTATCTGCATGAAAGTTTTCGATAGTTTGATGACTTTGCGTCTAGCTCTGGACAATTCATTGAAAATTCGGATTTCCTAGAGCAGCGGCGACGATGATTTGCACAGATTTCAAATCAGTTAAGAATAAAGATCTTAACTCCTTCCTTCTCTTTTATTATATAGAATCAGTGACTATCATATTCTCTAGTTCATATCAGGGTCACTCTCTTCATTTCCATGATTTATTCAGTTCAAGGACTAATGTTGCCACTTTTGATAGTTTTCTCCATTTGAGGGTTTTCCTGAAGAGTAACCAGGGATCCTAACGTCCATGGTTACATTCTTTTAGCAATTAAGCCATCTGGATTCCATGAAATTTTGAATTGCATTTGGAAATTTACATTTGAGAAGATGGATGAGGATTATATATGTAGTAGAAATTTTGTCATAATACTCATGAATATATGAGTTATATAGTTACACTCAAACACAGGGATTCATAACATTACTCGAGTAGTGAATTAAGATACCTCAATATAAAATTGAATTTCAAATGCATTCTTTTATAGTCTCTCAGATGTACTGACCATTCTCCAAAAAAATGTAATGATGAAACTCATCCTCACAAAAATGAAAAACAAATCAAATTTAAATTCACCCTCTCAGATACTCGTTTCAAAATGAAGCCTTAAGGTTTTGACGAATCTTCAAATGGCACGAATGGATTTTTCTGAAGACAATGAAGATGTGGGAGCACTCTCTCATCTCGAAGAAATTTACTTAAGATTGTCCTAAGCTAATCGAGGTCTTGCCCTTCCGATGAAAGTTGAGGACCATGAATGGGGGCAGAATGTAGGTTAACTTTCCAATTGCAGTAATCCATGAATTAGAGTTGGCTGACATTGGCTCGTTGCCTATTGACAGACTGCTTTGTGGAACAAGGAATCTCCTCCCTTCTTCCACGTTGTCTTGAAGAGTAACTAGGTGAAAATAAGGGAATGAAATATTCCCATGTCAAGGAACTAGTATGTCGTTATTCCTATGAAGAGTAAAACAGCTCCCTAATTAACTCTGGTATTATTATATGCACTAGTTATTGTCCATGTTAATAATGAGCTCATCTTTTCTTGTTTCATTGGTACATCATTTTCCATTCTTTTCCAACTCCATGTGCCTTTAATTTATTTATTGTGCCTTGTAGAACTTTCTTTCACATAATGTGTATTTGGTTTTGCTGCTGATCATTGCTGTTACATATCACATGATTTCTTAACAGGTTTTTTGTTTCCAAATTTTAGGGTTTTTGTTTCAATATTGTGTTAGCTGCTAGGATCAACAAGCATGGGATCATTCTCAAATTTCTTGCAAATTTTCTGAAGACTTGCTAGTGTGTTCTGCTTAACACATTTCTTTCATTGTTCTAAACTAAAAAGTTGAAGAAAAAGAAGCCATGTTTTCAAACGGTAACCAAACTTGGTAGCCTTTTGTTGTCTTTTAAATTCAGCCAATACAATGGATCAAGAAATTTTTCTGTCATTGATTGATTTTTATGCATCACTAACAACTTTATTACACAGACTCTTGTATAAACTTGTGAAAATTGACCGCTTCATTCGAATATGGAAATTTAGTTTGGATTACTTCCATTGACTTTATTGTAAATTTATCTGTCTTCATAGGTTGTACATGGAGAAGAAATGCAATTGGTATCCATTCAGTGAAGTGAAAAAGGAAAAAGAATGTTCGCATCAAGTACTTGCATAACAAGCATTAGTTGTTGTCAGAATGGAGAAAATGTCAGTACCTTCTGTTTTTTCAATTCACAATGACACTTTTTTTTTTCTTTTGAAAATTAAATTTCATTCGTATAAGGTAGGGTATCCCTGTACATTCAAAGGAGAGTCACGACTGGTAACAAAGCAGTCTTAACCCTCTGCTCACATGCTGGTAAACACACAATGACACTTTTGTCTGCAAAACAACAATTCCAAGTTTTTTCAACTCTAAGAAGAGTGAAAGATTTAAGCTATTCACTTTTCATGACTGTTGTTGGATTTGTTAATCACTTCATACCAGAAAAAGGGATGTTAACATTGTGTGGTTTCCACCAGATTTAGAAGTTGTTCTTTGCTTGTGGGTTCTAGAGGGAATGGCAAGATTTTACACAATTCTCTGGAAAATTTACAGCATTGTCATCAAATGACTAAAGTTGGATAGGTCATTGTCCTTGTTTTCATATGTTTTCATTGAGGTATACATTTTGCACTTTCATATTAAATCATCAGTTGGTGATTTCCATTATTTTCCCTTTCAATGGGGACTTGAATTGTTTAGTTCTCTTTAATATTTGTTTCTATTATCCTTTCAGAGCTTTTCAAGTTATTAACTTGTACTATCAATGTTGGAAGAAGGTCCAGCATCTCAGAAAACTTGATGAAGGCAGGGTAAGTCTATGCTTTCAGTTGGTTTCCTCTACAATGATATGCTTTTCGTTGTACCATTAGGCTCAAAACTAGTTGCAAGTCATGTCTCATCACTTGCTATTTTTTGTCTCTTTAATTCTTTATAGCTAATTTAAAAGTATTTCACCACAAAAGATATTTAATCTGGTATATTATGCCCTTGGCCTTCCACTAAAGGACCTACAAGGCTACATACAAGAAATCAAATGCTCGTAATAACTCATGCCACTAACTTATTATTATCAAAATTGTGAAGGTCCTTTTTAAAGAAATTTCATACTAGTTTGAAGTTGAAAGGCAATTGGGAACTAGGTTAAGTGCCCATATTAGAAAAAACTTGTAACTTGTGCAAATACTTTTGTGGTTGCTCTACTGATGTCAAGCACAACTAAGGCTAGCATTGGTGCTTCTCTAGTTTGTGACTTGTGCTTTCTAGGATACAAAAGTAGACTTGCAACCTGTGATATTCACCTGTAGTACTGCTACCTGTTATAGGCTGCCAATTACTATTTGAGGAATGCATCATCTCCTGCTTCCTCTTACTTCAGAAATTCTGTCACAAAGTTGAGTTGATTATTTTCATTTAGTTGAGTTCCTTCGGCACCCGAAGTTACTTTGTTCTACAGCTAACAAAGAAGCTTGCTTTCTTCAAGATAGAGGCACCCAATTACATGGAATTTTCAAGCGGTCTACTACCAGCTACAGCTGGAGGTTGAACGTCTTTGCAGCAAGTTCAGTACGCTTCATTTCAAATTTGGGCTTGTCAAAGCAACAAAGAGGATGATCATACATTATTGGTAGACTGCATATTGGTGGATGATAAGGAAATTGACTTCATTTCAATTGTTAATTGCTTCGACAATTTTGGCTACATCATGGCCCTAATAACTCTACATAATTGGAGCTTTTAAGACATTTATCTTGTATTATCATTGTTTTTCCATTCATCCAAAATTCAAATGCACTTTTTCCTATTATCTTTATTTTTTATTTTTTGTTTCTGTGTGATAAAAGGTAGAAGTGAAGCCAAATTTATGATCTTTGCCAACTTGTTTGAATGCTAAGGTCATAGTGAGTTGGTTTGTTATAATGAAAGTATTAAACTAATTTTTAGTTGAGTAGGTAAAATATTTTAATGTAATTAAAAATTCAAATGGGTTGGAACCAATGATCATACATTTAAATTGTCTACCATGAGCTATAAATGGATGGACCCTTTGACATTTAATTTAAAAACAATTTTGCTTTCTCTCAGCAAATATGCAGAGTTAAAGCAGGTATGAATGAGTATCAAATTCCTTGTCTTTGTTCACACTATCAAAACTGTGTAGAGTTTATGCCTTCCATTACATATAAATCTAAAGCTTTAACCTTTGACCTAATTGCAGGGGATTTATGTTTGCAATGTAAATTCATTCTTGATTGAAGATTACAAAAAGATCCAAATGTTGGAAAAATAGAAAATTGGGTTTGAATACCTTGCATGAGGCAAGCAACCTTGTTTCCCTTTATCTCATAAAGGAATGATTTGATTTGTAATCTCTTGGAATAGTGTGCAAGCCAAGTAGAAGCAATCTTACCCATTGGTTTGCTTGGAAATGATTATGAGGGACACCCAACAATTCCATTCATTTCCCTCCCATTTTGTAACTCCAAATTGCTTGCTTCTTTTTGCTACTCTTTCTCTTTTCTTTTGTCATTGATTTTTTATTGAAAAAATCATTTTATAGTAAATAAGTATAAAATAAAAATAAAATAAAATCGAAAACCACTAATTGACAAACTCTACATTAGAATTAAAATAAATTGACAAATAAAATATAAGAAATATGTTATTTTTAATATATTTTTTTGTATTATTTTAAAGATCAACTTGTAGTTTAATTAAGAAGATTCCTTATCGTGCGAATGTAATATAATTTTTGGACTGATTCACATATCAGTTTGCAATCAAACTTTATAATTGGGAACAAACGAGTTATCATTTTATAATATCTGATTAATTTTTAATAGTATTTATTCAAAATTAATTCTTGGTCCAAATTGATTTTGAGTGACCCTAAATCATTTTTCTTCAACTCTAGGCAAATATAAAAGGTATGAATCTAATCATACTTTTCTTGGTTAAATGCATGACAAAAGAAATAATTAAAACTTTAAATAAAAAAAGAAATAATAGTATTAACAAGTAAATTAAGTTGTTAAGATCACGTTGATTGAGAGTTAAAACGGGTGTCTTGCACTCGCTCTAAACCCAAGTCAATAGAGTAGTGCTTGTTGGCATTTGGAGTTTAGTATGAAAGAATCAAAAATTAACGCGCATGGCTTCCACCAACCTTATGGGGCCCTTCATTCCAAATGATGGGAAACAATTTGACGAAGGTAGCCGAGGAATTGCACTGTAATCCATCAGTAAGTGCAATATATTTTAATCAATATAATATTCATATTTAGTGGTAAAAACTAAAGCTTGAAAATACTCAGGCTCATTGCTGGAGCAGTTGCATTGAGGCTTGACTTAAAGCACTCTTGGTCTTTCACCTGATTTTACGCACTCTCCTTTCCATTGTTTCCAATCACTTTCTTCGATCTTCTTCAAATCGTTCTTACCAAAAAACAAAAAAAAACATGGCCGGGGCTTTGGTGGGTGAAGCTTTTCTCACTGCTTCCATCGATGTGCTGGTTGAGAGGATTGCTTCTCGGGATGTTTTGAACCTTATCAAGGGAAAGAGGCTTGAGGATGGGCTGCTGAAGAAACTGAAGCCTACTCTGATGTCAGTTAAAGCAGTGATGAATGATGCTGAAAGTAGGCAGATTAAGGACCCAGACGTGAGAAGCTGGATTGATGAGCTCAAAGATGCTGTTTATGATGCGGAAGACCTCCTTGATGAGATCGCTACCGAAGCTCTTCGAAGCAGGTTGGAATCCGAGGATCAAACTAGTACTGCGAAGCAGGTATGTAGCTTTTTCTCTTCTCTCAATCCTTTCAATAGGGGGATGGGATCTAAGCTAGAAGAAATCCTTGAGAGACTAGAATATCTAGTCAACCAAAAAGACATCCTGGGTTTGAAAGAAAGTAGAGGAGAGAAGTCATTTCAAAGACCTCCTGCAACTTCTCTGGTGGATGAATCCGGTGTTTGTGGTAGAAATGATGAAAAAGAAGCGATCATGGAGTTGCTGAACCCAGAATATGCAAGTGCAAATCAGATCGATGTGATTCCAATAGTGGGTATGGGCGGGGTTGGTAAAACCACCCTTGCACAATTGATCTACAATGACAAGAGAGTGGAAGAATGGTTTGACCTCAAAGCATGGGCGTGTGTTTCAGAGGAATTTGATGTTTTCAGGGTAACCAAGACCCTTCTTGATGAGATCACTTCTAGCACTGGTGATAGTGAGAACCTAAATAAGCTTCAACTTAAACTAAAAGAGATGCTGTTGGGAAAGAAGTTTCTATTTGTTTTGGACGATGTTTGGAACGAGAAATATGTTGATTGGGAACAGTTGAGAAGTCCTTTCAATTTTGGGGCGAAAAACAGCAAGATTGTTGTAACAACACGTAATCAAGAGGTTGCACGCATTATGGGGACTGTTCCAACTCATCATCTTAATGTCTTATCTGATGAGGATTGTTGGTTGTTATTTGCAAAACATGCATTTGTTAATGCAAGCCCAAGCATGGCTCCAAATTTGAAGGAAATCGGTGAAGCAATTGCCAAAAGATGCAAAGGCCTCCCTTTAGCAGCAAAAACACTTGGAGGTCTGCTTCGTTGTAGAACAGATGTTAAGGATTGGAATAAGGTATTAAACAGCAGTTTGTGGGACATAACAGATGATATTCTTCCAGCACTCAGATTAAGTTATTATTATCTTCCTTCTCATTTAAAGCGTTGCTTTGCATATTGTTCAATTTTTCCTAAAGATTATGAATTCGGAAAGGAAGAACTCATTCGGCTATGGATGGCTGAAGATCTTTTAGCATACTCCGGAGAAGTTGTAAATATGGAGGATCGGGGTAATGAGTATTTCAAAGATTTAACATCCAGGTCATTTTTTCAACAATTAAGTGGGAATAAGTCTTGCTTTGTCATGCATGACTTAATTAGTGACTTAGCAAAATCTGTATCCGGAGAATTCATTTGTAGATTGGAAGTTGGTGATAGACTTTCATGTAACATAACTAAAAGGACCCGTTATTTCTCTAATGTCCAAGAAAAATACGATGTACTTAAAAAATTTGAAGTTTTACCTGAAGCAAAAGGTTTGCATACATTCTTAAATTTAAAGTCACGATTATGGCGTTGTTATGTTACCAATGTGATAATGGATGATTTGATCATAAAATTCAGATCTTTACGAGTGCTTTCTTTGGTTCATTATCATAATATCAATAAGTTATCAGAAGAAATTGAAAAATTAAAGCAACTGCGTTATTTGGATTTATCTAAAACTTCAATTGAAAGGTTACCAAACTCATTGAGTACATTGTATAATTTGCAAACGCTACTCTTATCTGAGTGCCAAAAGCTTGTTGAGTTGCCTGAAGACATGGGAAGATTGATCAACATGCATCATCTTGACATCAAGGGTACCAAGTTAGTAAGGATGCCACCAGGAATGGATAAATTGAAAGATCTTCGAACGTTAACAGATTTTGTTTTGGGTGAGCAAAAAGGTTCAAGCATAAGTGAGTTGGGAAAGCTCAAGAATCTACGTGGAAGGCTTGTGATTTCAAATTTACAAAATATTATTTGTGACAGGGATGCCAAAGCTGCCAATTTGAAGGAGAAGATCAACCTTAGGGAGTTGGAGTTGAAATGGAGTGAGGATTGTCATACTAATGATGATTCAAAGCATGATAGAGAGATACTTGAACAACTGGAGCCTCACACAAACTTGGAGCATCTTGGTATTGAGTTTTATAGAGGTACAAGATTCCCAGAATGGGCGGGGCATTCTTCCTTCTCGAAGCTAGTATCTTTGCACTTGAAGGGTTGTAAATTTTGCTTGTTCTTGCCGCCACTTGGGCGATTATCATCTTTGAAATCTCTCTCCATTAGTGGGTTTTCTGAAGTAGTAACAGTGGGTGATGAGTTCTATGGGCAGGGTGATGCTTTGAGTAAACCATTTGGATCTCTTGAAATTCTAAGATTCACAGATATGTCAGAGTGGGAAGAATGGTTTTGCTTGAATGATGGAGCTTTCCCTCTTCTCCAAGAGTTGCACATGGTAAATTGTCCCAAGTTAACCAAGTCTCTGCCCAAACACCTCCCTTCTTTATTGAAACTTAAGATTGAGAGATGTGGGAAGCTTGGAGGCTTGTTTCCAAG